CCATCTACACCCGTATTATTACCACCTGTATTATCATCACCCGTATTATTGCCATCTACACCCGTATTATTACCACCCGTATTATTGCCATCTACACCCGTATTATTACCACCTGTGTTATCATCACCTGTATTATTGCCATCTACACCCGTATTATTACCACCTGTATTATCATCACCCTTATTATTGCTATCTACACCCGTATTATTATCACCTGTATTATCATCACCTGTATTATTGCCATCTATACCAATATTATCATCACCTGTATTATCATCACCTGTATTATTACCATCTATACCCATATTATTACCATTATTACCATCTGTATTATCACCACCTGTATTATTACCATCTATACCCATATTATTATCATCTGTAGTATCACCACCCGTATTATTGCCATCTATATTATTGCTATTGTTATAGTTAGCACCCATCTTAACACAATCAATATCATCATCAATATTACTAGCATCCATATAATCTCCATAAAGATCATCATCACTATCAATATTATTAACATCCATGCTATTGTCACCAATATTATTAACATCTATACTATCGTCACCAATATTATTATTGTCAATATGATTACCATCAACATTATCATCATCATCTTTAAGTTTACGATTAAAGTTCAAATCCCTTATATCAATCTCAAGTGTTTCATATAATATTCCTATAGATTTAGGGTAACTTTTATCCAGAATATTTTTCAATTCCTTCTCATAATGCTCATCTCTCAATCTATCAAGTTTATCAGCTTTTCTGTCATCAATTTCATTTATTTTATCATCATCTATATCATCAACTGCATCATCATCTTCTTCTTCTTCATCTTCTATGTTTTTATCATCTTCTATAAAATCTTTTAAACTAACATAATCTTTCTGTTGATCTACATTAAGAATAATATCAACATCATCTTCTTTTTCTGGTGATGAATTATTGCCATCAATGTTGATAACAGCATCATTTTTGTCATTGCCACTAACATCATTGTTGTAGATTTTGTTGTTGTTGTAACTGTTGAATAGAATTTCATTATTTATATTACCAACTTTAAGTACATTATGTGAAATTTCTGGTGGTGCTGGCATTGATTGTTTTTCATTGAATTTCAATACATGATCTATATCACTTTTTGATATCTACATATATATATATATATATATATATATTATTTAAATACTTTATGAGAATACTATGTGAATATACAAATTTTTATTAATTACACACATATAAATACATAGTTTACATACCAATTTGTCTTCATTTGTTAATCTTTTGTATTGGTCACAGATTACCATTAGTTTATAAATTATTGTAGCCAATCGATCTTTTAGAATATCATAAAGTTTATTAATAGTATCAATATGCACATAAAAATTTTTTTCCTTTCCAGTACATCTTTTTATATAAAAATAAAACTTTAATCAAATATTATATAATATAAGCCAAGCTTATATGGAAGAAATAAATACCTCTTAATCAAAGTAACAAGAGTCTTACTCTTAAATAAATTCAACTTGCGTTGATCAACCTCGCCATCTTTTATCAATCCATGTTTCACATTAAATAATGCTTTTTTTTCAATTTTTGTAATCCTTTCTGTTTTTTTTTGAAGCTCCTCAACCTGGCTAGCTTCAAACTCTAACCATTCATCACTCATCTCTCTAGCGGCAGGAATATCTTTATGACATAATCGTTCAAGCAGGCCAAGTTCCGAAAAAAGTTTCACTTCTTTGTCATAATAGTCAATTAACTCCATCACTTCTATTGGGGTTTTAGTACCAATCCATTTTGCTATTTCTACTGGACGTTTCTTACTAAAACGGGCCAATGCTTTGAAAAACATGTTTGATTCATATTTGGACCAAACTACATTGCCTACTTTAATATTTTCAGCGTTTGATCGACGTTCAACATTGTTCGTTGGTGCTGTATAGATAGATTCTTCATAGTCTAATAGTAAACGATAATAATTTTTTGTACATTGGTCAGAATAATCTAAAGCATAAAATCTTTTTGTTTTTTTTTCTTTTCCCATGTTATATATTAATCAAGTGTCGATCAATAAGTGTTGCGTGATTGACAAAAGCAAAATAATAGCATCATAATAATAACTTTTTTTAAATTTAATAGGTACGATTTTTTTTTTTTTGCAAATCTACGCGTTTTCATTGTTAATTGAAATATTAATAAATTATTTCACTTTTTATTGTAGGATATTATTATTGCATGAATGTCCTACTGAAAACTCTAATGTCAGAAGAGTATGAGATCATTTATCTAGACCAAATATTTGCTGATTTTTATTAGAAGTAACTTCTTTTGATCAAAAACGTCCATCAGCAATGAAGCACAATATATGTTGTTAAGCTTCATTTTGTTATATTTTGGATCATTCAATACTCAATACAACTAAAAATTGGATGGCTTGTTATAGGAGCAACTTAACTTGCCGTGATCAAAAAAAAAAGTCCATGGTAAAATATTTTATTTATATTTATTGATTTTTTTACATAATATCACTAAATGTGTAATATTTCAAACTGTCTAGATATCTTAGAAGAAACTCCATTGATCAAAATTTGCATGGTCAAAAATTTGTTGAATTATCTCAAATCTCCAGTTGACCTAAATCAACATTATTATCTTATTATAATATTAAAGATTAATCAATTCAACGAATCTATAGTTAAACAATATTAATATATTTGGTAGTGAACAACCTTGTTACGCGACCATCAAGGAAAAAAAAAGAAAATATTATTTTATGATCTATTCATTAGTTTTGTTTGTTTTGTTTGTTTCGTCCGTTTTATTCGTTTATTTATTTGTTTGTTATTCGAATATACTTCAATGGAATTCAAATACTCAAATTCATAACGAATAAAACTAATAATTCAAATAAGCCCTATTCGAACAATTAAAGGCGAATAATACAATACAATAGTAATAATAATGATAGCAGTAGTAATTGTACAAAGAGTTAACAGTTATTAACCAAAGTCATTAAAGTAATTGTTGCAAATGTATAGATGACTTCAATCAGCTCAAGAAAAGTAAAAATATAGTAAATAAAAAAAGGAACTCTATAGGAGTAAAAATGGGAACTGTAATTATCCAAAATTCAATTTTTATATGCCGTAATTAGTTGCAACTAGTCGCAATTACTTGAGGAGCCATCTTTACATAAGAGCATTTTATGCATGGTAGAAGGGCCATCTTTATTTATTGTAATTCATTTTAATCCATAAAGTGTGCTTACAGACCCGCCAAAGCTTTCTGGGTATAAGAAAGAGGCAACAAGCAGGATAATTTTGTTAAAACAAGTTAAATAATCAAGGCTGACTAAAAAGCTACCCTCATGTTGTTTACAAGCAAAATTTATGTTTTTGTCCAGGAATGTCCAAGACATTTAAAGTGTCAGACATAGACACAGACAATCTGAGACAGGGCAGTTTGTGTCTGTGTCCATGTCCACCAGCAACACTGAATATAAATGGTTTGTGTAAATGAAAAAAGTGATAATAAAAATATAATACTTAACAGATGAGTTCACTCATCCACACTACAAAAGGACAAAAGCAAAGTGCCAATTTACTCAATAAAATTTAGTAATAAAATAGCAACGCACTACCAAGAAACCCGTGAGCATTTTTAGACATTTTGCATTAAAGATAAAAACAATAATGATGGTGGTATTTGATTAAGGAATGAAAATTAAAAGCAATTAACATAAATAATTATTCCGAATACTACACCATTCCAAACTTTTTCCTTTAATGTCTTCCTCTAGATCTTAAGAATGAATTGTGCAGAATGCACTGCCTCATTGATACTGATTATTCTTGAAAAAATTTTGGCAATAGAAATTCCAAGATTAATTTTATTTTTTAAAATGATATTATATATAGGCAGAACATATTTTTCAAAAAAATTAAATATATAATAATAGTAAAACTCTCTTGATAAATCTAAACAAATTGATCCTTTTTTTGACGCAACGCAACAATTTTAATATAAAATACAAACTTAAATAGTGCAATATCAATACTAATTCAAAAATAGTAATAATTATTATTACTATTTTGATATGAATCGTTTTTATCGATTTATTGTTGGAGACAGTTTGACGAAATTATGAGTGTCTAATGAAACGATTTACAATAATTAGCTAGTGTTATTATTACTGTGAAAAGTCAACACCTTGAAAAAATTTTCATAAGTCTGTTATGTGTATCAGGAAAATTATATTGATTTTTACATTTGTAGCAATTCTGAGGTTTTTTTAAAAAAAATGACCAATTAAACTGATTCTTCTAATCATCCTTGGCGAAAAATACAAAAAGACAATTTATATTATAAATAAATTGCCTTCAAGTTCATGCTCTCTTCATCCAGAAGGTCCAGAAAGTACACACCACAAGTTAAAAACAGAATGTTAAAATAGGTATTCTAGCTATAGTGTTTCTCTAAATTCTCTAAAAGTAAAGTGTAGATGAAAGAAGTAAACGCCAAAGTGGACAGTATGGTAGCAAAGAAATGGAAAATGGCGAAAAGAAGATACATACATACGGGCAGCGATAGTATTAAAATTTAATTGGATTTTCACTTAATATTCTGCGCCAACATCGTTGTTACAAACCTCATTAGTTAAAGTCATATTATTATTTAGATCCTTTGCTCAAAAGCAGTAAGTGTTAATACCTCTTTTGTTTTAATTGCTTCCTAACGTCATCAATGCCTGGCTAATGCACATTTGTATCACATTCCTATCGTTATATTTATAAAATAAAGAAGTTAATTAATAAGGGTTATTTGTTATCGTGGTAATTATTGACCACTAAGTTTGGACTCTTAAATTTTGTGGCTTTGTTGTATCATGGCTTATATAATATAATAAAATAAATGTTTTTATTTAATTTCTTTATAATCATATAATATACATATAAATATAAATATATAAATATAAATATAAATATAAATATGAGATATTAATATAATATTATTTAAAATACAAAAATATGATATAATTAATTAATTAATTGAATAATATATATATATGATAATAAATATATACTTATGATTATAATAAATAATGGTGATGATGGTAATACAAAAAATTAATAATATATTGTGTATGTATATTCCTTTAAGCTTGTTCGAGAAGCGTATCAACTAATTCAATTATCTACAATAAAACTCAAATAAGTTAATTACTAGAAAAAAAAAAGTTTTCTTTTTTTGAATATAAAACAAACCTTATGAATGTCAGGTCTATCATTTGGTTCAACAGTCAACATTTGGTTAATTAAATTTTTCAATCCTTCTGAATATCTAATGATAATAATATTTAATATATGTTAATAACTATTATAAATTAAATGTATCAATCAATTAATCAATTAGTTAATTACCCTTTATTTGAATCAGAAGGAAATTTGAATTTAGCGCCAAGGACTGCCAATGCCATTGAACCTCCTTCGTTAATACTAGTTTCAAATGGTGATTCACCATATGCCATTGCATAAAGTGTACATCCCAATGACTATATATTATTAATTAATTAGTGTAAATAATTGCATAAATAAACAAATAAATCATATTGGATGATAATAATATTAGTTACCCAAATATCAACTTTTTCATTTAATTCGGTATTTGTTTTAACGTCAAATAATTCGGGTGCTCTGTAAGGCATAGTAGAATGTTGTTCTGCCAATTCTTTTTGTAATAATGCTTGGGAACGAGTGGTTATTTTTATACGCGCACGAACTAAAGATCCAAAATCCATCAAAATTGGTAATTCATCATCAGATAACAAAATATTCCTAAAATAAATAAAATATTATTTATTTATATGTGACAAGAATTTTAGTTGCTACTTCTTAATAGATAAGAATGATTAGTTACCCAGGTTTAATATCTCTATGTGCGAATGGTAAAATATCATCTGTTAATTGATCTTCTTGTTGATAATTATTATTGTTGCGATTGTAATTGTAATTGCTTTCTTGCAAAGCTGATGTCAAAGGATCGTAATTAGCATTATTATTATTATTATCATTACTATTAGTGCCATTAGTATTAACAATATTATTTTGTGATCTCACTGGAACGCTTGGAAATTTATAAGTGTGTAATGCACGAACTGCGTAACAAATTCCTCGAAACAATTTTAATATTTCTTTTTCAGAAAAATTTGTTCCATTTGTTAAATTTTTATTTATTAGATCTTGTAAATTGCCATTCTAATTATTAGTTTATGATAATTTTAAGTGTGAATACTTTTAATAATAAATTTAATATAATTGATTATTGTTATGGTTGCTTACTTTGTAATAAGGTAAAAATATATACACAATTCTACTTCCATCCTTATCTTTAACAATGCAAGTATCCTAATTACAAAAAAAAAAACATATTAACTTTTAAATTTTTTGAATAAAATAATTAATTAAATGTGCAAGCAGGTGTACACGTACGACAACTTTTATAATGTTTTCATGTTGAAATAATTTATACATCTCAACTTCTTTCATTGCATCTTTAACATTCTCACTTCCAAATGGACATCTAATCTTCTTTAGCGCATATAACTTGCGTGTACTAGTATCCTCTACTAAATAAACAAACGAAAATCCTCTACAGATAAAAATAAATAAATATTTTGTTAAGTTAGAAATCCAATTGACAAAATAATATAGATTGATCCTTAATTTTTTTACCCTTCGCCTAATAATTTTATAACTTTAAAAACTCTTCTATTTAATTGAATGATTGGACTAGGAAAGCAACAGGCAGTAAATGAATACCAAGTACTTATAATTGAAGAAGACATAATTTGAAAGTGATAAAGAATGAGTGATATTAATGTAGAAAGAAGTGGTGTTTTAAAAAAAATTCAGCGTCTGTGCGACAATGTGAGATTTTCAACATTTTATTTATAGTAATAGTAAAAGATATTTCAGGGACCAAAATTTATTGTATTACCAATATATTTGCATCAGACACTGATACTAAGCATTTTAAAAAAGAAAAGATTGCTCCGTATGTTTTTAAATCAACTGATGCTTATTCAGATGCTTTGAAGATTATCTTTGAATGAATTTTCCAAGAAGAATGACCATCAAAAACATGTCTTGGAAAGACTACGTAATTCTGAAAATTTATCCACAACTTATTTTAAAAAAATCAATTGTTTTTTCATATTCATTAGTGCCATTATATTTCTTGATTTTATTCTTCTTTTTCATATACATATAAGCCAACATACACACATATTATATATCTATAAGATTGATCAACAACCTTTTGAATCGAATTTGCAAAGTTATCTGAATAGTAAATCGTGAAATTTATAATTATTATTATTACTATTACTCGCGAAGAATGCCTCACTAACGGCTAAGTTAATTACGCCTCGGGAATGTTTGAATAGCAAAATATTTATTGTGTTTATTTCTATAAATATAACAAATTCGACTTGTGCAGTCGCCGGCAAATAATTTAATATTAAATGCTTGTGATTGATGACGCATGTAAATATATACGTATATATATATATATATATATATACACACAAGTTCCAATAACTTTGACTCTACCATCGGTATGACAAATAGTAAATAAATCAAAATAGATCTATAATCCTCAACTATAAAATTTTGATAGGTGACTTCCGAAAATATCCCCGCAGGAAATAAATATGAATACGTGCGCAAGTACCTCTGCTGCATCTTAAATATTCGAACCAAGATGAATCATGTCTGCAAGTACCTAAATATTAAATAGAGAAATAAAATACTTTTAAAATATTTATAATCGACTTCGGATTCGGGTCAGGATAAATCGATTAATTGTGGACAACAATTAATTTATTAACTTCTCTATAGGGTGGGACTTAAATTAATTTTGGGCAAAGCGTAAATTAAATATTTTAGGTGATTATTATTTTTTACAAATAATGTGTTCTTTACATTTATGATCCAATAAGATATGTATGTAATATAAAATAAATCGTAAATATTGTAGAAGTTCCACTTACATGACAAAATAAGTTTACTAACTATGCTTTAAAGAATATTGCAGAAAATTATTAATATTTTAGAATTACAAGGTATAGAACCTTGTATTAGAAGATACAGAACAATAATGAAAATATCTAAAATTTAATGGATGTTCCCAGATATTCACGTTATCACATGGTTTGCCAATGTACAATCATGAGGCATGCATCCATCATACATGAAACATTGTTTCGCGCCACGATTTTTTATCCCAATGAATAATTTTCATGCTAATGTTTACAATAGTAAACATTATCATTGTTATTTATTATATTATTATATTATTTTGTCGTACTTATTTAACATTTAAATATTAACAATGGGCGTTTTTGTGTAATCGAACGTGTATTAGCTGATTCTTGTGTGACAAACTGTAGATTATAAATAAATCAGGGCCCGAAATATATTAATATCTACAAAGGTCAGTTGTTAACAAATCAGGAAACTTGAATTTCATATGACACGAATACGAAAAAAATTATAAAAAAATGATACGGAAAAATATGTTATGTTATTATTATATAAATAATATATTTTCACGTAATTGTCAATTTTCCCTTCCACTTTCAATTAACATCTTTCGTGCAACTCTTGTTAATATTTCCAGCGAAAAAGCATTGTTCTAAAATAAGAAAATATTATCGAAAGAATCCTTTTTTCCCACTATAACCTTTTTATTGGCTTTGAATGATTGATAAAGACAATCCCAAAAGAATTCACCATCATTAAGATCTTATATTGTCTGGTAATGCTAAATTTCTTCTCACATGAACAACTAACTTCTTTATTTGATTTTGTGCTTTATTAGTTGTGATTAGAGATTGAACCCGAGTTGGGTCCAACCGGGTAATGAAAATTACCACCCGGGTGGAGAAAAATGAATGTAACACAATAGGACGTCTGATTTATAATTCAATTTTTTTTGATCAACAATATTGTTAGAAATATTTTGTTTTTTAAAAAAAATTAATTTTTACCTTTTTCATATTTTAGATGAAATTTCATCTGATGATGAGAGCTCTGGAGATGACTCAAGAAACATAAAACAATTAAAAGCTCAATCTTCTCAACAAATAATTTCCAAAGTTAAGGGAATCATTTATAACTTACTCTGGAATTATTGGAGTGATTCAGAAAAGATTGGACTAATGGCTACTTTATTAGACCCAAAATTGAAATTAATGAAAGTATGGTCAAATGAAACAAGAGAACAAGCAATCAAAAAACTATGTACTGAATTCAATACTTGGCAAATCAAAGTTGTAAATGATGATTTTTTAGAAGGAATCCCTTCTTCATCCACACTTTCCTTTATGAAAAAAGTATTTTGTCATAGCCAAAGAAAAGTGAACCATGAGATTGAAATAGATAATTATTTAAATGAAATGATAACTCCAACACAACCTGAAGGAATTGATGTTTATCAATGGTGGAATAACAATCGAAATTCTTTTCCTATTCTTAGTAGAATTGCACGCAAATATTTATCAATACCCGCCACTTCTGTTCAATGTGAATGTCTTTTTTCTGATGCAGGGAATTTAGTTTATATTGTAAAGTTTGGAATTAATAAAAAAAATAAAATTATTTTTTTATCATTTAATGCAAGGAATATCCTGTATACAGAAAGATCTATTCACTACCCGGTTGACCCGTCGGGTAAACCCGCGGGTCACCCGGGTGAAGTTTTTTTAGACGGGTCCAATCTCTAGTTGCGATTAATTTTATCCTTAATAAAGATTTTAATTTTTTTACCGATGCAAAAAAGACATGGCCAATTTTTATCCTTTGTACTTTTGTCACCTTGTTTCATCTGAATTTCATTTGACTAATTTTTAGATGAGTGTACTCTCTAACACGACAGAAATCAGGGTTATCATTGAAAAAAACCAAAGACTGCAATATTATAAATACTAACTCTCGGGATGATGATTGATATATTGTTACTCCTAAAGGTAAAATAATAATAGGAAAATTATTCTGATTATTTTCAAAGAAATTGCATATGGTAAATAAAAAATTCAAAGTGATATATAACAAATTGACAATAATATGATATAGTGGAATATTGATTTTGTTGTTAATTACTTTGAACGCCTTACGAATCCACGATAGTATATAGCGAGCCAAATTTCAATGGAAAGTTCAAATATTTGAAGGCTTTATTAATAAATGTGATAAATGTGAAGACTTGAGCATAGAGCTATATGAACAAGTGTCTTCTTTTCAATGAATCAGAAGGAATTTTGAAATTACTTGTCGTGTTAGATTTTTTGCTGCTGCTAACAGAGAAATTGGGACTTTATGCGGTGATTTGGAAAAGTCAACTATGATTAGTGATAATGCTATGAAGAGATATTGTGTGAGCTGTAGTTTGACTTCTTGTATTTAAAAAAGTCTGCCTTACAAATTCATTCAATAGCGTAGGAATTTTTTTTTACAAGATTGTTTTTCATGCACACGTTTTTATTATATATTTCTTCTCTGTGTTTTATTTATTTGTTCCTGACACATGAGCTTGAAAAAAAGAAGGCATGATTTCAAAAAATGCAAGAATGCTTATTCAACTGAAAATTGATAATTATATCTCAAAAACGTAATGGTATTCTCGAGAAAGTTCAGAGGTATTATGTTTCTAATATCAAGAACGATTCTGTATATCCCTTGGTATATGTGACTCAACTATTACCGCATGGGCAATACGTGTTTGCGCTTCTCTCAAAGAATTAGCATCAAAAGAAAGATTTAATATTTATATACTGCTGTATACATCATCATCCGGAAGAAATTTCCCTATTATAAGCTGAAACTATTAAAGAATAATACTGCAATTTGCTTTGACTGTTTGAAGGCTATGCGTATTAATGCCAATTAAAACTTGGAAAAGTATTTCGTTATTCTAAACGCATTATTAAAGCCAATTGATTTTGTGGAAAATCATTGAAGGTATGAGCGAAAAACCTAAATCCTGCGAAGGGTGTGCCAGATTCGTATAGAAAATTAATTATCAAACTTACCAACGATTCTCAATAAATTAATGACGATAATTTTCCATAATTTCGTGAACGTTGATGACAATACATGTGTATGACATTGAAATTTAGTTATAGGAGTCACAAGAATTATATCCAAAAATTTTTTTATAAAACGCTTGATAAGAATTTGAATTCATTGATAACATTATTAGAATTGCATAAATTTGTACAGATAGTATGTTATTTGAATTGAATTGGTTCTTTAGATGAAGTGGTTACGTTTAATTATGCTTTCAAGTAACTACATATATTTGACGATACATATTATTTAATATTTTTACATTATAAGAAAAATTTACAAGTCATTGATGTATTTATTTTTCCAAAATTTTATTTTTTAAGTCCAAGCAATATCACCACTACCAGTAACAAAACCATTGAATTTACCAGCCATGTAAGTAGCCACTTCCAAAATTCTTGGTGGCAAAATATAAGTTGCATAAGTTGGTAAATATTCAAAGAAAGGCCAAGTAATTTCAGCATGATTTTCTAACAATTGCCATTGAATGATTTTAGCCAATGAACCAGGCGATGCTTTGAAAATTTTCGGAACGGGAGTTATTGGTTGTCCTGGTTCATTGGTCAATCGTGTATCAATAAATCCCGGGCAGATAACACTAACTTTTACATTATGCTGTGCTGCCAAATAACGAAGATCGCGTGCGAAGGAAATCAACGATGCTTTGGTCGCATTGTAAAAGATCATTTGTGGCACGGAAAAATGTCCGGCAAGCGATGCGGTAACTTTATAAAAAAAAATTTTTTTGAACGAACTTTTGTAAATAAAGTATTTTTATTATTATGAATAAATATCTTACTTGCAATTTGTCCCTTTTTTCTCTCGCGCATTTTTTTATAAACTAAGACAACTGTTGCCAATGTACCCGTAATGTTCACCTCAAGAGCTCGTTTCCATGAATCCTCCACTTGATCAATAGTTGCGCCAGATTGAGCTATCAAAATATTATTATATATTAAAAATTGATTTAATCAAAGAATTTTTTTTTTTTATTAAAAAAAAAAAAGGTTACTCGTATACCTGCATTAGCAATTAACAATTCAATTGGATTTTCATTATCGAATTTATCAATACATCTACTTAAATCTTCCATATTGGTAATATCACATTGTATAATTCGAGTAGTAGCACCTTGTTTATGGCAAGCTTTTGACACAGCATCCAAACGGTCTAGAGTTATATAGAAGCAAGAATAAATTCAATTATTTAGAATATATATTATATATATATATAATTATATAATTATAAACCTTTATCGCGAGCAATAAGTCCAATAGTAATGTTTTTTCTCGCATAAGCGAGCACGAGTTCTGCTCCTATACCAGAACTATTAATCATTTTTTATCGGAAAAAAATAAATAAATTACCAATTAATAAAAATGCAACGTTAATATTAAAAAATAGTCGCTTATTTTTTATTATTCTTACTTTGCACCAGTAATAAGAATAACTTTAGGATAATCATTAAAGAAAAATCGCCAAATAGATTTTGGACAATCCCAAATCACAAAGAAAACAGAAGCTGGGATCGCAATAAATGTTATTGTAAACCAAGCAACCGCTGATTCAACAATGGGTTGAATAAAAGTTGGGATAGTTATTGGTGGAAGTACATTCATTTTTTTTTATAATTTTTTATTATTACAATAATTTTTCTCCGACAAATAATAAAGTAAATTGTTTATTTATATGTTTTTCTTTAGATGGTAAAAAAACCAATTTGTAATAAATGTCATGTTATTTTTTATTTTTATGATGTAATTTTTACATCAATCAAGGTCGAAAAACGTAATTTCTTTAAAATTTAGCATAGTTGACAAAATTTAGCATAGTTGACAATCATTTGCAAATCATTTAATATTAATGTTGAACCTTAAATTAATTCCTCCAAAAATGGAAAAAACATCGTAATTTTGAAGCCAAGACCTTTCTCTAAACGATTTTTTTACCATGTAATAATTAACATTAAACCATAAAGTTGCACGAGTTTACCATTTTTAATCGCAATCAATAATAAAATAACATGGTAACACCCTCGAAATTGTTTATTTAATGATTATGCACATGGTATGTTTTCGCTGCCTAACTTTTTGATTGTAACAGAAATAGATTATCTACAAAATAAAAGCATCCGGTATAGAAAGGTTATAACTATCCATCCATTCACCTGGTCTATTAGAGAAAGTTCAGACTTTGCACAATAATTAATTAATTTGATTGATTACAAAATGTTCATTCATATGATAAAAACCTTATATAGTAATTTGTACTTTTTTTATATTAAAAAAATTGTACGTCTGTCTAACTTGTATTTTATTTTCGTTCTCACTTTTAATTATCCATATAAGATAATTGGAATAATTTGTCCAAGTGTGGATTAGGTGCATTTTTCAACTTGTTAATTCCTTTTTGCAGTGGACCATTCATGTTCTTTAAAGGAAAGTGAACTGTGAAATTTACCACTATCGAGGTTTTCTCTCTTACCTTCAAATTCTTTTGATTTTCTCATACAAATACTATGTGATCCCATTGCTGTTGTTTTCCAATAGCTTTGATTAATTGCTGGATTGAGTGAGAGGTTTCTGATCCAAACTTTTTTTATTTCAGCATTAATTTGGGGTTCCAACTTACTTTTACCTGAAAGCCTTATTACAAATATTCTATTTGCATCTTTTTTTTTAGTCTCTTCTTTGGTGATACAATGAATGTGATGGATATTTCTTTTCGTATATTATTCAATTTTATATTTTCAAAGAAGTATCAATGATTTTTCTTTTACATAAAAGTCATCATTGAACAAAAAAAACAAAGTGAAAAAATAGCACCTTTTATTTTATTCCTAAGTCTCGAGTTTTAAAATATTTTGTTAGAATGTTACTTTTTATGTGATTCCTTGGATCTGAAAAAAGTTTTTCTAAAGGAACTAAAGTTGTGCTTACGCATAATAATAATAATAATAATAATAATAAGGAAATGTGATGTGTGCTCGGAAAATTTCACTGTCATTAATAAACATTACACATAATCCAAATTTCCAAATTAAATATTCTTTTATGAAATTCTTCGTTTTTTCGGTGGTGACTTTAAGTATTCATCAAGTGACTTTTTTAAATGGTCTCGTTCCATTATTGATGAAAATATCATTAAAACATACCTCTGTGTTTTTAAGAGGACTGCAATTAGTGATTTCAGCTGACGAAAAAGATCACATCCAGCCAGCTAAAGCTGGCTAAGAATTAAACAGTTCATTATTATTGCTTATCCCATTAATGTTGTTATTGTTATTATTATTAATATTATGTAAAAAATAATCGTGAGACTCATTTAAATGACTATCATTATTTTTTTTCAAATATATTTCATAGAATAAAACAATTTTGGTTTTCCATTTAATCTCTAAAGCTGTTACGTCCAATATGATCTCAGTTTATCGTGCAGTATAAGAATTCGCATCCATCATAGATACTTTTCTGTAATCTACAACACCTTTCCTTTCATGCCCATAAAATAAACATCTTGATAGTGTGTTTTGAGCTATTGAAGATTTTGCAGCTCCAACCTCTGAAAGAAGATAAACTTCATGGGTGAAATCTTGCTGTTATGAGGTTTTGCACTTTTCTGCAATATCTTCATCACCAATAATTCGAATGGTTATCCTCTACATAATTCTGGAAGTGATCCAAGTTTCCCATTCTTTCTTTCTGTATACAATGTTGGTTCATCAAGAAAAAATTTCCTTTCCATTATTGTTTAACTTTTTTAAAGATTCAAAATTGCTCTTTTTTAACTTTTGTTATATAGGATTTTGATTTAATTCAACATCTTTAACATTCTCGATATCTTCAGCATTATCATCTCCAACATTATCGCCATATCAAATACTATCATTATCAAGGCTGATTTCCTTAGATGTGATGCTGATAGACCAAACCATTTTTCTAATTTTGAAGCATCTGTTGCAGCTTTGGTGAATGATCCATTTAGAACAATATTTATCATATCATGTTATTCTTTTAAATTTTCTTTATTCTTAATTTTAATGTAACATTTATCACTTGTTTGTTCTTTCAAGTTCTCATCTTCACTATCATCCTAACAACGAATCTCATCATTTAATTGATCTATTATCTTTCTATATCATTCAATTTTAAAGGTACATACGCATTCATTTATATTTTCATTTAATCCATCAATCTCAGTATCAATTCCATATTATTTTTTTTCACAAAGCAAACCACTAGAAGTTTTCTCTTAATTTTGTAAGTTTGTTTTTTTTCTTTAAAAATATGGCTCATTATAAAAAATATATTGAAGTTTAATGATAAAGTATGATTAAATTTATTAATGAATTTAATTAAAGTTTAAAATCGCACTTCTGAAAAGAAAATCTTATCACGCAATTACAATGGCCAATCACAATGATTGAAAGTAAATAAAAAAGGGTCAGAATTTTTAATTGAGCCTCAATAATTATACAAAATTTTACGTAAACTATAGAAATAAAAACTTGGGTCTTTGGCTTGTCTATAGAAATGAGAACTCAAAAGATGATTGGTTAAAAAAGCTTGCACGATAAATGTGTATGTGGCACTTGATATTTAAAACTGGTGACTTCCCCAATTAGTATTAATGCGAATATATTAAATATGATGATGAGGCGCTGACATTTTGCATACAATAGAATTTTCCGACATGTCATAAGACTGTTTGCGGTTACTATTATGTAATTAGTATGCATTGGTATAATTGGCTGAAAATAGAAACAAACCTAATTTAATATATACTAACTCCAAAAAAAGCATTTAAGTAATTACTATAACTATTATTTTTTAACGAAAAATATCTCAAGTAAAATGGTATGGTTTCTAATTCTTGTGACGAATTTTTTATTGATACAAAGTGCGTTCGTTATTAATTCAAATTATAGTTTCGGAGTTAGGCTCATTTTATTTTCCGCATCTAAATTGTTTATGAATTACACAGTTTAAAAATAAATAAATTAACATTCAGAAATAATAATTATCCCGAAGTTTATATAGTAATTTTAACTGCACCATAAATATTCATTGTTGATCTGGATATTACCTAAGTTGTGGGCTATTTATTACTTAACTCTAGATTGACAAGAAAAATAGACAAGTCGGGAATTTCAATTCCATAGTATCAATTTTCCCGCAATATCTTAAAATCCCATGGATACCCTTGTTGTATTGTGTAATTTCCTTTCTAAACTAGTTTCGAAGGCTACTTTATCTATGGTAATATGGTACCATGACCAAACCTTCCAAAATTATTTTTTATTTTTGCATCTGGGATTTTGTATATTATATATATATATATATTTGAATTACCGAATGGTGGTTTTGCAAATGGTATTTTCGGGAGCAAACTATAGGTTTGCGTCATTTACGAATGGAAATAACAAGTATAAAACCAGAGCCTTTAGATCAGGTGATCCATTGAAATATGCAGAAGGTGATGGAATAATGTCTTCACTTTGTTGTAAAGGTTATTATTACAGTGCTATTTCCAATATATCAACTTTATTCAAAATTTTAAAATAAAATAAAGATGGGCTTTTGTGCAGGTCCTTGCTTGCACAATCTCTCTTTTACACTCGCAAATATTACAATGATTTAATAAAATTGGATTGATACATAAAACAATTTTAAACAGAAATTCAACTTTAAAAAATAAAAACATCTACTAACATGAGAATGTAATGTGAGTCTTTTAAAAAATCCAGATATTCCAGCATCTATAATGAATCTCGCACGTTATTTTGTTAGAAAACAATAAGGTTACCAAATAAAGAATAGTGCGTTGATTTTATAGAAACAATGAAAAAAATTTTTTTATATAATTTAAAAAACTTTTTTTTAATTTTTAGAAATAATTAAATAATTAAATTAGTTAAAGGAACAAAGAATTTTTTTTCTTGTTTCTTTCTTTGTATAATAATAGTAGTATTAATTTCGTAGCAATATCTAAATATTTTTAATGCCAATACATTAATACATGCATACATATTAATAATAAATAATAATAATAACGTTCACAATATATAAGATGGGAAATTAATAATCTTTGAATTTCCATTGTTCTTGTTGGTTACAACTCTTCCAAATAAAGATCAATTCAATTTACTTATTCGTTGATTTCGGCGATTTTCGTTTTTAAGTGCTCAGAAAACTCAATTTTCTTTTTCGGATTCATTATTTACATTTAAATATTATATTTCGCATAATATTATAAATCATAATAAAAGATGGCTAAGTTTTTTTGGGAGAATAAATGATTTCATAAATAAAATGAAATAATTTGGTAACGATGGTATGTTTCACAAATTTTAGACTTTTTTTTGATTATTCATTCACATTTGATCTACAAACTTCTTATATTTATAAATAAATAGGTATTTATTTTATTACCGTGAAAAATTTTTTGTTTTCATTAAATTTTTTTCCCAAATAAATAATAATTTTTAATTAAAGGTAATAAATATTATTCATATTATAAACAATAAAACTATTATATTATATATATATATATATATATATATACATAATAAACGATATATATATACATCCTAATAATATATATTTATATATTTACTTTTTTCAGATTCAGACTACAAAAAAAAACCTCTTTAATATAAAAAAAATGACTACTGATATAACAACTCCATATGCAATTTACGGTTTCTTTCGTTCATTTAGAAACTCACTACCTGACGAAAATGATTTTTCAGATTTTGTTAGTACACTAATTGTTACTCCAATGCACGCAGTTGTAGAAAATGTGTTACCGTTTTTCAGACGTTCAGTAGATCCAAATCTCTTCATCAAATTTCAAACAATCATGAGACAAATTGAACAGAATAGTGATTTTGAAAGTACTTTTATGAGAATTTGTGATGCTTTGGACATGTTGGAAAAAGTGGAAGTTGCCCTTAAACATGATAAACGATTAATGGATGGGTATTTGAGAGCTATGCAATTTGATAATGCTTCTGCTAGTCATCAACAAGTTTGGGGTGGTTTACAAAGATTTTTGAACGAGGAGTGTGATTTAGTTACAAAGAAACGTATGGAAAAAGTTTTTGCTGATCAGAAAGCAAGTGATGAACTAGGTAAAAATTTTTTAGAATGTTTGTGTGGCACATGTAATCGATTTGGTTGTGTGTTTGTTTATTTATATATATAACAAACTTGCTTAATTTTTTAATTTTTTATTCCAAAAATAAAAAGGATTATCTGATGATGTTCTTTCTACAGCATATTCACTTATTGGTGATGATGAATTATATATTGAGATCCTTGAGACACTTCAATTAAACAATCGTCAAAATTTACCTTGGGATACTGTTATATCAAAGATTCAAAAAATTACTGATGAAAAGAAACCTCAAGCATGGCCAATGTTGCATAAATTTTTAGAGGATGTTCATACTGGTCGTGGTATGTTCAATAAACTTAAAATTATCTTATCGTAAATAAATAATAATTAATAATAAAATATAAAATCTATACATTTTTTTTTTGACAGAACAAAGATTTTGAAATTATTATTTTATTTTATATTTTATTATTATTTATTATTTATTTATTTATTATTTATTTTTGTTTAATCATTTTTGAATTAATAGATTTTTAATTATTTAATTGTTTTTTATTACTTATTATTATTATTACTACCATTATTATTACTATTTATATAATAATAATAATTAAAGGAATTGATAAATACTCTTACACGACGGATAATTGGGATGAATATATTGATGATCAAGATTATCAAGACGGTGTCTACTATTACGATGACGAAATAGAAATTGTGGTCAATGAACTCGGCAACAATGAGATTGTTGTTAATAATAATAAAATCAATAATAATAATATTGACGCCTCTATCATCGAACAAAAATTATCAAATATAAACTTAGATGATGATGTTAACAAAGAAACGAACCATCAACCACAACCACAACCACATCAACAACCTAATAAACAATCCAATCAACAACGCGAAGTTATTGGAACTGTCTAAATTCCTTGTGAATTATGATACTATAATAATATTATATTAGGTAAATAATCATTAAATTTATATTCTTGAAAATTATAATAAACATCATCGATAATAATAAGTTAAAAATATATTTTTTTTTTTTAGATAATACTTTCTTTTTTTTAAATATAAATAAAAATATATTCTTAGCATCCTAAAATTTTATCATTTTCTTTTCTTTTTACTCCAAAAAAAAAACAAAAATTTTTCTTGTAAAAAAATATAAAAAATCTATAAATAATATACATATATACACTTTTTATAGTTAGATACTGTATAAACAAAAAAATTATTTCCAACTTTTTTTTTATTATTTTTACTTTTTTTTATTTATTAATTGTATGTATATATTAAAACAATATATAATATTGTTTTTATTTTTTATTTTTTTTATTATAATACAATTTTTAATTTCATTTTTTTTTTTTTAAAAAAAAATATATTACAAAATATAAAAAAAAAATTTATATATATATATAAAATTTAAAATGTAAAAAAATGTACATAAAAAAAATCATAAAAAAAATTTTTTTCAATAAAGCATACAATTTTTTAATTGGGAATTTCGTATAATCAATTTGTAACTTTATTTGGTTGATCATAAATTTAAGGTGTAAACAGCATCTGGCTATAGATGTTAAATTGTTGAAGGGATTAAATTTTCATAGAAAAATCATTGAATGCAAATGCATCGTACAAAAAACGAAAACATTTTATTATTATTTCTCGTCAAGCAAGTAAACTTGTTGGATTGGCGCTTCGTTAAAGTTTGCTAATCAATTGATTCTCCTTGGGAAAATAATTATACACGCCTCTTGTGAATAGCGCATTACTCCATTAGCTTCAAACTTCATATATATACATACATATAATTTCTTAATAGTTAATATAATCTTATGGTGAATTGAGATTGACATTTGCCAACTTTATTGTATATTTTCCTACTTTTAAACTCATGATTAAAATAAAGGTTTATGTAAAGGACTGGGAAAACTCCTATTCTATTACTATGTGACCGCGTCTGGTCATATTGACGCGAATTTCGGAGGTTGATTGGTAGTTTTTTCTGTTAGAAAGCGATTTACAAAAACCAATCAAAAGTTTATTGTAAATCCAGTGGACGAGGATGACACTGGATTATCATAATCTAGGTAACAAACATCCTGTGTAATATTTTTTCATCCTGGCATAAGAATTTATAACTTTTGTAACATTTAATTATGTGTAAAAAAAATTCATTTTTTGCCTTGTTACATGGTCTTTATCTCAAGTTCTAGTTGACAATTTATAAAATCTCTGTCAAAAAATTCTTCTCTTTAGAAGAAACATTTTTTAGCAAGACATTAATTTTGGCCAATCATGTGATTAATACTCAAAAATCTGCGCCACTAACATAGCCTCCAGTGTTAAAAATTGACATAGATACAGCCGGATTTAAATTTGATCGGATTACATTTAAACAAGCTGCATTGAACTCCTTTTCATTGGGTGCACTAGAGGTAGGAATTGATAAATAATAAAAACATAATATTGGTACTCACCTGCCTCTTCTCTTTGTTTAAGATTTGCAAGCATTGTTCCAGCAGCGAAATCTATTCTTCTTATCTACATTTCTTGACAAAAAAAAAAAGGCTTTTAAAAGTTGTTTTACTTGTTCAGACATGCATTTACTTCCACCACACTTTCCAAAATTTTGCTTTCATGAAAGTTCAAAGCAATTCATTCTAAAAATTTTAAAACTTGTTAATTTGACATTTAGAAAGCATTTATTATATTAATTTTTTTTCTATTTATAGTTCACTCTCTATAATGGACCATTTAGCTTGGGAAAAAATATCTGTTATACGTATAATTGTAAAATTTTCAGTCCATTACAGAGAGAGTGAGAAATTAGTAGTTTTTAGCCTAGTTAAGTTTCGGTTTGGTTCAAAGAGTAAACCGAAACCGAACTGAACCGAGCCGAAATTTTTCAGTTTGACTTTTTTAGAAAACAAACCAAACCGAAATTCTTCAGTTCGAACTGAACCGTTCAGAGCTTTAGTTTTATATCATCTAATGAATTTCCTATTATTACATTAAACATTATATTATTATTATTATTAAAATCTAGCCAAATTAAAAATACACTAAACAATGTTAAGTTTTTGTCCTCAAGAATAAGTTTCATAATGTCATCTATTTTATTTACAGTCTTCTTTATGCTAGGGTTGGCAAATTGACTGGTCCCATCGCCATTAATAAAAATGCTAAATGTTACACTAATAGAGCTCCGAAACGGGCCGGGTTAACCCGAAAGTTTTTGGATTGGTTCATTCGTGCCGGTTTCGGGTTTAAAAATTTTGACCCGAAAATTTTTTGGATTGTACCAATATCACCGCAGAAAATAATTGTCCCTGTCCAAGTAGGAATGTACATCACATACACTAACGAACATACTAAAATTCATGTTTCTTTTATATAAGCGGAATTTATCTCCCAACAATCTGATGTCTGCTGCAATCTTTTGGAACTTTTTCTTTCGCATGCATAAGTTAGACCATCTGAATTCATTATAACACATTACAGCACATTTTTGATGAAAGTTGGGTTTATTGGTTGTTTATCGATTATGATTTCAAATTCATCACCACCAATGTTTTCTTCAGAACTTTCATTATTTTCATCATTATCATCTTCTTCGTCATATATTCCAAGTTTTCTACCTCTCTTTCCAATTAAAATTTGATTTCATTATTTTTGTTAAAAAAAAAAACATCCGAATTTCAATTGTTGTTGGGAATTCTGAATTTTATATATAATTTCTAGATTTGTACTGTCAAATGATCACCTGACTTTAAAGGTTTATAGAACAAAATTTCGGACTTTCTAGTGCAGAGACAATGATTTTCTGCGGTGATGAAACAATAATTCCGTCCGTTCTAAAACAAATTCTGCATGCATGCTGTGCATTAAAAAACACTATATTAATATTCTGCATAATTTCTGTTATAATAATATCCATGTAGTTCTGTGGTTTTATATTTTTCAAAAACAAAAAAAAACGGATTTATAGTTAAACGATTCGGTGGTGTGCAATCAGAAGGATAGCTCGCGACCATTATTATTATTATTATTATTCAATTTTAACTCTTCTTATTTAAAAAATATTACAAAATAGAAATCCTAAAAATAAAGTATATTTAAAATGAATTTTGTCGATTGTCATCTAAAAATTGTATTATAATCATGATATTCAATGTTATTTGAGATTAGATTCAGAGCTAAAATTATCACGTTACACTTAATAAATTCCGTTTTTAATATTAAATGCTCATTCCCGTGATTTCTGGATCTTGCTGGTAATTTCCTTTGTGTTACTTTTCGGAATATTTGCTCCAAAAAGACAATTTATTACCAAGCAAAGTCGTGATTATTCAATCAATCGTTTTTTATTTTATATAATTTTTTATGGACGGTATCAGCCGAATTTCATTTATTCAATCAATAAATTGTAAAGAATGGCATCTGGTGTATATGATGAATCGTATAAACAATCGAAAAATATTTAGAGGCTGTTAGTTGATGATTTTTTATAATTATATAGTATTTGTTTATATGTAATCAGTAAAAGAAATGTACAACTATATATTACCTACTTTAAACAATCGTTTTCTAATTATAATCATACCTGCTCTTTCATCATTTATTATTATAAAAAATAAATTTATATGAGTATATATTATCGAAAAATTTTCTCTTTCTCAAAAAGGTTAAGGATTTCACTTTAAAATTTTTAGCATCAGGTCAAGACTCCCGAATTATATATACGTGATAGGAGTTGAGAGAGACATATATTCAAATAGATAGTTGAGGGGTCATAGTAGCAATTTTTTTAAAAAAGATCATATGAAATTTTGGATAAAGTCATATTCCAGACAAAATTAAAGAATTGCTTTTTTCTATGTCTTATGAAACACGCATAGCAGGAAATTTTTTCTGACGTGGATTTACATAATTATTACACTATTTATGTAAGTTTACGGCGGGCCTCATAATATTATGCAAAAATCATACAAAATTATTACATATCGCATAATTTTTTTTTATACAAATACTACACATTAAATTTTATGGACTTAATATTACGGCGGAAAAAATTTCCTGATGCAGGTATGGCGAAGCGAGGAAAGTTTTATTATTCCATTTTTCACAATCAAACAAAGCGAATTGTCGCGTAATGACGGCGGTTGCATAATGATAATAATAATAATAAGAGGAGTATGTTCATTTAAATCCTAGAATTACTAATCTTGTCGTGTATGTTTTTGCAACAATTTTTATACTCCGAATGATAGTACGCAGCGGAAATGCCCGTATTTATAATTGTCATGCTGTATATAAGTTTAAGTTTTCATACTTTGATTATTTTTTTTAATTTAAAAAAAATAAAGATGGCGCTAACTAGTTATAATCATCACGAAATAATTAATCATTTACAAAATGACAACAATAA